TTGCTGTTGATTGGAGACGCCGAGAGATATGGCCCAGAGTAGAAGTTAGTGGCGCGAATGCTGTACCGTCTGCTTGTCGAGATCCTGTACCCCGTAAAAATAGCAAACTGTGTACCGTGAAACACACCACAAAATTTTGTTATCTGAGTTATCTTCCATTTTCCCGTATTTAACTGTTTTATTCTCTTTCCACTTTGCTTGTAACCCAATTCACCTATCCCTTATGATTGTTATTGTTATTATTGTTGTGTCGTTGGCACCATGCTTGTTCAGAAGCCGGTGTAAAATGTACATATATACTATCCCAATTTTCGATGCCCCTCCCTTCCCTTCAAAGTTGATTGAACGCTTCCGTTTAAAAAGAATCAAACTAATTTTTCCCCACTTTCCATAACGCGGTCGAACATTCTACTCATCCAATTTTTGAATATATTCATTTTTTCCAGCAGTGCGCGATTCTCGCTCAACGGGTAAAACTAGTTCCATGTTCCGAAGACCCCCACCACGGTTCAAGTGATTCCGAAGACGATGACGATCCACTACTTCCAGTTGACGCCGGAGCTCGAACTGTGTCAGACAACACGTGTTTCAACGACACAGTGCCGTCGGTAAACACACCCCCAACTCCCAACATGAACTTATCTAATTCAGTCTCCGCTTATACTCCGATTCGCGCATGCTCGTCTGGTCCAACTCTGCGAACCCAAAATCCACCCATCCCATCCAGTGCTTCGACTCCATCTTCGTCCCAACCAACTACAAATCAGACATCGGTTACCACCGGTACAGTGTCCATTAGTACAACTAATCCGACACCAATCACAACTTCCTCCACACCGACAACTCAGAGCCCCGGAAGTGGTGGTGCTTTGTCACGTGGTTCTTTCACAGTTGTCCTACCTGATCGAGTCGTGGGAAACAAAACCATAAGACTACCTTTTCAGAATTGGACAGAGCTAATTTTGCGTTCGGAGAAAAAATTCATGTGTATGCTCTGTCGTCGCTCGGTGTACAGCGGTCGAACCGAAGTCGTATTCCATGCAGTGACCAGACATTTGCTCGCGGTGAGTTTTTTCGATTGATCGGTTGATTGAATGTTTGACACGATTCCCTTTAACTTTTCCCGTCTCTCGATGGAATCGGTAAGATTGTTACGTCTCATCGTTGACAGAAAATATTACCCCAGAGAAACTGCAGTAAAAGAAATTTTTGTCAGTCTCAAGTTAAGGAGTCTGTATATATATATATATATATATATATATATATATATATATATATCACAATAAACTCATTTTGTTCAGTTTTTTATCTACTAGTTACTATGAAATATTCCGTAAAG